AGTACTCAGTCTTCGCTGCCGTGTAACCATGATTCGTTTGAAAGCTAGCTAGTCGCTCAGGTGGTCTGTATAGAAACTGACAACAGTATCGATTAGCAGCCATATCTTGAGGCGTCTTTAATCACATACAGTGAAGACCATGCGGACCCCATTCCGGAAAGGGAGCCGCACGGATAGAAGCCAGGCTTTTTGTGATCTCTTCCACATCCATCTGTCAGGTCGACGATTGCGCCACCCTGAATTGAACATTGCTCATCGGATAGTGATGTTTCGGCTTGCGCAATGGATGGTCTAACCAACGCAGCTTCTGGTGCTGGATGCATTGCTTAATGGATGTCCCCGTTGAACAAACGAACGCCCGCTTTCTAACTGCCTTGCTACGGATCCGCCGACACCAACCCACCGGCAGAACGGTCTTCGAAGACATCTCAGTTCTCCTGATCGGAGTGGTCATACCACAAAACAGCCCGCATTGTAGCCTGAGAAAAGAAGGACGCATTCCATTCGACAACTTGCTTAATCACAATATGATTTTTTGAAAAGAGAATCGAGCGCTTCAGGATATCTGCACAGTCTGTATGCAGTACGAATGAGGCAGAGTAGACTGTGCATTGGGTATGGCACCTAGTTGGGATGATCGTAGTTAGAAAAGGACAAAATTAGAAACGGTTTTCTTAAACGGCATTTCTGTCATCGTGATTGACGTTATCGGGGTCAAAAATAACCAGGAATCGACTGATATCTACCTCTGTGCGGTCGACCTTCAACAGATTGTCTGATTGGTCAATACGTGACAATCCCAGCTTTGTTGCTTGGTTCTGTGATCAGCTGTTGGCTTGTGTTTACAAGCCCTGACCACACAGTGGATGTGAGCTGTGGACGTGAGTGGGTTATGTATGGACTGCAAAAGCCTCCGCACAGCACGTCAACTCTCTGTGGACCAAATGAAACTGGTCAAGCAAACCACTTTTTCGCTCCCAATGAGCGCGAAAAGACAGCAGTCCTTCTGTGTACATGTTAGATTCTTACAAAAAATTCATACTTTCACTCGGCTGTTTGTGATAAGTTGGAGAACCGGACAATCGATAAGATGGTTTTGGGTCACCTCTGCGACCCATCGAGCGTCGCCTCAATGAAGGACACTGCGTAGAAGCATATCCTTGATATTATTAAACGGTGGGCTTATCAGTGTGCTTACGAATACCAAATACCTGAAACTAGACGCGGAAGGCATGGTGTGGTGGCTTGGACGGTGCACACAGATCCCACCTACTTGGCATCTCCTGTGTGGTGTCATGGCTTATAAACACCGACCAATGACTGTCCTCCGGTACAACCCACAGCTGTGGTTTCAACGCCTTGACCGGCAAGACAATACCTTGAAGTTTGACCACACATAGAGTGATTTCAAAAACACGGGTCCTGTCTTCGTGTTTTTGCCACCAAAAATCAACCTAATTGAATGGAATGTTTTCAGAATTATCACCGGTTGTACCGAGTAGTGTACCTCGTAGAAGAACGGGAAGATAATTGACCGTAATCGTTTTTCCGGTAGATCGGTTCGCAAAAGTAATTTGTTCGGATCGATGGTGGATGCGTTTTGACCGGAGTGTTAAACGTGGTGAAACACCGAGCTGTGTGGAATATACCAGGTTGCATACATTTGCGTTTCCTCAAACGAGCGGCGAATTGGTCACCTGCATACTACTCAACACAATTATGTTTTTACTTTTCTTACGAGCTTGTAAATGATATATTTGCGAGCTCATTCATGTTCGAACATATCTTCGTGTAACTTTGTAAAAGTATTTTTATATATTGTATACTAAATGTGCAATCAGCAAGAATCAAAAGGGCCCACTATTTTAGTTCACACACATTGTATGTATTATCATGTTTGTGTGTTCAGCAGATAGAAAATGGTACACTTCAGAGCAACCTGAAGTGAAGTGCAACTTCATGTCTGTGAGATTAGCTTCGCTAGTAGTGTTTGTACTGGAACCTTGTTAGCCTGGTCATTCTTCACTCACACAGGGACTGTGAACAAATCTCGGCATTCTGTTAGAATGGGACATCGCTTCGCTACTTTCAGCATTATAGTACTG